TGGGGTTTGGTTCAGAAGAGAACGGGACATGAGCAAATGAGACATATGACTTTGGGGGAGGATGAATGAGCAGCAGAGGACTCTAATGTACAAAAAACACTAAGTCGGGGCAGGGGGGAGGGGAGCGGGGGGATGTTCCACCCAGACACCTTTAACTGGGACCTTCATTTGTACGCAAGGACATACGCTCTAGGCCACCCTTCCTGTCCTCACACCAGACTGCCACTGTCCTTCACTCATGCCTTTCCCTTTGCATGGCTTTAAGCTATTCTGCTTGGCTCGGCAGTGTCCCCTCCCTGCCATCCCAAGATGCTTCTGTCAGTGCTGTTATCAGTGGATATTAAGCCTTATTGTCACTGGCAAACTGGAGGGATTTTCTGTGAGCCCTAACTGACTGTCTGTAGTTACCTCGAGACCTTGACGTGATGCTTACGATTCATTCTGCCCATGCATCTCCTTGATGGTTGCACTTTCCTCAAAGTAACAAAGAGATGCCTCTCTCCCTCTTATTGTGTAAAGCCACTACAGCTAAACATCTTCTCAGATAGAAAATGCCCTAGAGCATTTCACAAGCTTTTAAAATCCAAGGACCACCTTTCCTCTCTGAAAGGGCTCCAAGGACATTTTATATAGTGTTTCACCACAGCAGTTTTCATTCACAATCCAGTAACAACCCATTAGAAATGCCTCTGTTATTTTTTTCTTCATTTGTAGGTGTATTTTCTGGCTTCTACAGCAGGAAAGTGGTGAGTGGGAGGAGAAGTTTAGAAAAGAATGTTTTTTGAAGTAATTTCCCTGGTTACGTTCTGTTTCTCAAGTACCATTTGAAGATAACATGTTGTAAGGGATGTTCCTATCTTTCTTTCTACCAATAGTTACCACTTCCCTTCCCCTCCTTTCCAAATGTGACTGGTGCTCATTTGATTCTTCGGTAAGCTGATTAAAAAATCAAAAGCAGCAGAGAACTAATTTATTTTTTCTGCTGACCTAGCAGGTCACTTTGGGGACGGAGGATCAGGTCAAGAGAAGAGACAAGACCATGTGGCTGAGGATAGGGTGCAGGACAACATTTCAAGGGGCAGGTAGCCACTGGATTTGAAACCACAAACTTCAAACCGTACCTGCCCGGTGAATGGGGAACACTGCCTCCCAAACTTGATGCTGATCTAGATGCTGCACTGCTAGACTCCCCCATTTTCCTAAGACTGCTGAGCCTCCCTGACATATTTCTTCCCTCACTGTAGATATTCATTAAAATGTCATATTCAAACTAAAGCTTTGTCTTTAAAAAAAGATAATAAAACCCTCAACAATGCAAGAAATTATAGTTTTAAGAGATTCCTTATGAAAAGAATTAACACCAGGGACTGCTAGTATTTTTCTTTGCCAGCCACTCATTCAAACCCAACCTTGGTCATTAGTAACTGGAAGCAGTTCCTGTCTGCTAGATTTTTCTTTTTTATAGAGGGAGGCGAAATCAAGGGGATTCTTAACCCAATGGCCAGCATCATAACCCCAAAGCCATTTTCAACAGGGTGGATCAAATGGATTATGAACACCACCTCTTTCACCTTGTCTAGGTATTTTCCTCCAGGATCCTTCCCCGGCAGTGAGTAGCTTGCCTCACTGCTACCACAACCTTATCTTTTCTGGGGAAAAATAAAAGATTTCACTCTTCTAGGCTGCCATTTAGGTGGCTTTCCGTAACAGGTAGAGCCCCAGGGGTGATTAAAATGAAGTGCAGCCTTTTGTCATATTCTTTGCAAAAGAAACTATCAGCAGTTCAGTATGAGAATATAGAGTTCTCTCACTTCTTACAGTCTGAAAGATGGACTAGAATAACTTGCAAAAGGTTAAAAATATTTATCACAATTCTTGTTTTCCATTTAAAGAAACAACTTTTCTTATTTTGCATGACCCCAGCATTTTATTCTAATGTTTTGCCTTTTTTCTGGACTTCCACTCACAGTATTAGCATGAGTTAGTGACTGGTTTTAGTCCAGCTCTGATTCATGAAACAGACATTTTTTTTCCTGCTGCTTAGAGTAACTGTACAATTTTCTGTTCTCAGAAATTTAATAATGTGTTAAATAAGAGACTAACATTTAGCTATCAAAAAGCCTTCTAAATTATGATCCAACAAAAAAACCAAGCTACTTACCATTGTGGTTATTTGCAAACTAGAAGCACCTTCTCAAAGAGAAGTGGTCAGACCACTCATGTCCTGGCCAAATTACAATCTGGCAAACTTTTTTTGCAGTTTGGGCTGGAATATTCTTTTTCATTCCTAATCCTAAGACTTTCTGTAGGCTGTTAAACAGATGCTACCTTTCATACCAGATGCAAATTTCCTAAAGTAGTTCCTGCTGTATAAAGTTGACTAATCCAAAGCCTCTGAAGTAAAGAGTAAGACCTGCTGTGGACTTTGGATTGCATATGTATGGACTATAAAGATATTTGCAAGCTCTTTGGGATAAGAAGACCACATAGATGCAGAACATTACTACAGGCCTGTAGAAAAGTCTGTGATTCATTTAAGATGGGAATCTCTTGCCTGCTCTCTTCAATGAGAGATATATTTCAGACTAGATCTGGGTAGCAAATGTACTTTTCCTTCTCAAAAAGGTTTGGAAGTTGCAGATGTCCTTCTGTTTCTGTGCTGATGCAAAGCAAAGACCTTTCAAAGATTTCTGAAGAGAATGTGCGTGTCCCAGAATGAGGGACAGCCAAATAGGAGCGCATTTTCCACCTATGTGATCAGCATATAGGTTTCAATCTTTACTTCACTTGATGAATCTGCTCTGCCCCATTTCAAGTGAGTTTCAGAGTTGATGGGACATAAAGTCCCCTCTTTGTGGCCTAATGAGCAGTTCCTTACACACAGCAGAATAGCTCCAAAGAGATACAGCCCAGAATAGCCCCTTGCTCAAGGCACCCACCTGAAGTGTGAGAGAACAGCCCTGCAAGGATTTGCTTTGATCTAACACATGCCTCAGATGAGACAGCTGGTCATCAAGCTGTTGTCTGTACTGAGGGGGTCTCTCTCCTTAGTTTTGACAAAGCAAAAGTGTACTGTGGAGCTGAGAAACAGCTAAACTCCCTCAAGGACAGTTTCATCCAAAGTAGTATAATCCTGCAAAAAATCCTCAGTTTCAATGGATGGGCAAGACCAGGAAAAAAAAAAAGGAAAATACTTCTTCGGAAAATTTCTGGCCTAAAATTTTGTTAGAGAAAGTTCTAAGCAGAAGCTACTACTGAGAAGGAGACTCAGAGGTATTCAGCTCCTGCCAGGCATTGTTTCTCAGTTTGATTAAGCTCTTAATCTTGTGTTTCCTTTGTGGGTATCAAGCTCCAGGAAACTGCCTCATGATAAAGGATTCAGATGCCTAAAGGGAAATAAAATTCAGCCTCAAACAAATAACAATCGCTGCTCTATTTTTGATCAGAATCTGGGGGGAAATGTATCATGAAGCATCGAGGCTTGATACTTCCAAAAATCAACTTTGGGAGTCAGAATTTAAGAATCTGTCAAAGCTAATCACTTCAAATAATGCTGCAATAGAAGACTGGACTTGCCACAAGAAGCAATTGCAGCAGGAGATAAAAAGATTACATGCTGAACGATCTGATGTGTAGGAAAGATGCTATTCTTAAAGCTTCGAGCTCCCATGATGCAGTATTCCAGCTCTGGGCTGAAATGGTAAAGCTAAACTACAACCATTCCGGAACAAACTGGGCACTGATAACGTCAGAGCAATCAGCCATGGGTATGGGAGTAGAATTTGGACTTAGAAAACATTTTGTTGAATTATATTTAGCATTATTTAAAACAGCAGCAACTGTCAGTCTCTGAATCTGAACTGCATTGTGTTAGGCTTTATTCCATACATTATAATACACAGCCACTGCCCCAAGGAACATACAAGTGTAAACAGACAAAACAGACATATGGTTGGAGGGAACACAGAAGAAATGATCTGCCTAATGCTTCATATCAAATCAGTGTCAGAGCCAGAAATACAGTAAAGGGTCCTAGTGTTCTCCCTGTTTAAGCTTAGCGTTTCCCAAGGCTTTCTCCCTCCAAGGATTCTCATTTTCCATTAAAGGAATCTCATCTTGATGAGACATTACTCTGGAAGAAATGTGGAGGAAAACAACAGGAGCTGGGATAAGGCAACTCTGAAAGATTCACCTGTTCTGATTTCACCTCTAAAATTAAAAGTCGTTTGGAACCAACTGTGGAAAGAGACATTCCTAAAGGAACAGGGTTTGAGTTCAAGCATTCCTAGAATATATGTGGACATCTCTACAGGAAATAAAAAACTGCTCTACAAATACTCAAAAAAAAAAAATTGAAGAGCGGCAGGTATCAGCTGTGATGAAACCTAGCTTGGCAGGCTGCATTCAGTCCTAGTCAAGCCATGTTCAGAAAAGATGAATTCAACAGGTGGAGAAAGGAGGCTTTTGGGGATGATCAAAGAACTGGAAAACCTGTCACGTGAGGAGACACTAGAAGAGCCTATTTGTCTAGCCAGGCTCCAGCTAACACAGCAGGAAGAAAATAGCAGGTTTGGAGAAGAGCTGTTAAAGCTAAAGGTTGATGTTAACAAAACAGCAAAGGAGTGAAAGTTTTCCACAAATGCATTTAACCTTAGCGTAATCTCCACTGGTAGGGCTAGCGGGGGCAAAGTTAGTGACACTTTTAAAATGGAGCTAGGACAGTTTGTGAAGGGTATACTACAATAGGTTTGTCCATGACAAAGGAGTTAGCAGGCTCTCCCAGGCCTGTGTTCCTACAAAGATGCTGTTGTTCTTCAAAAGGTTTTTTTTTTTTTGACAGAAAAAAAATCTTAAGAAGCTCTGCTTTTCTCAGATATCTTGTAAAGCCTCTTTTTTCCCGTTACAATGCCATGACATGTTTTATGAAATATGGGAATATTTAATAACTTCTTGGAGAAGTTCTTGTGATCGCTGAGTCATTGAGTCTTTGTTTTTTTCAGCTGGACCCTTCACATTTTCAAGAATTATAATTTCAAAACCTGCATCGTTCTGACCAATCCTCCCGCAAAACACAGAAAACTGAAAGAGCAGCAGTCTCCATCTAAAAAGCAAGTAAGTAAACTGCAGTTATCTTAGATGTTTGTAAGAGACATAGTTATAGCAATCTTTTGACCCCGCCCCCACCCCAAGATGATTCATTTTTGAGAAAGTTTGAAGCCTGCCTTTAAAGGATATTTTCACCACCTCATACACCCATATCTGATGCCTCTGGCAAAAAGAAAAAAAGAAATCTTTATAACATACTGTGTTGTTATTGGTATATTAATCATACATATGTGATTATTCCTGATAATAAAGTATAACAATACAATACAACATTAAGGTAAAGGTCTGATTATATGTCATTCAGAAAGGTTTGAGCTGCTATATTTAGACACTGACTAATTTAGGAGAACACTTATCTATCTTTCTGAGGGATTTCTATAGCTCCCCTTTCTGAGGCATCTGAAGACTTCACAGTCTTCTGTGTGTTTAGCTCCTCAGTGCTCCCGCGAGGTCAGAAAGTGCTGATCTCTCTGCTGGGAATGGGGGTAAAGCAGGGAATTGAGATGAAGATTGGGGTCCACTGAAGCCTACTGGGGTAGCCTGCCCCACATCTCCTGCCCTTGAGGCCTTTAACTTGCCTACCTTTTGCAACTTGCCTGTTTGCCATGGTAGTTTGCAGATACCAGCCTTTCTCCTGCCTTTCACCAGGGTTGCAGAACCCTGAATGCACTTCTGGCAGGCAGATGTATGCTTACACTGCACATCTTAAAATATTGGTCTGACTTAACTGAGGCCGGTTCATAGTTATAATAAGGGCATTTTCTTTTTTTCTGGCAGTGTATATTAGGAGGAGAAGAGCACAGAATTCTTGAGTAGGTATAAATATTCCCTTTCAAATTCTCTTTACAGTGCCCCGAAGTGTATTCCCAGTTAGGACACTATATCCATCTGCAAGATAGCTCTAAGGAAGCATCCTTACCTAGAGAGCATGAGCTTTCCACATCCACACTGCTAGTGAAATACTTATTCACTGGGGGCTGGAGAAAACACTCCTCATGTCTAAGATGAGGAGTCAGGGTTACAAAGCCACCAAGTGACAGCTGAAGTCAACTCAGCAGTGACTTTCTCAGATTGAAAAAAACCTGTGTTTGACATTGACCCAGGGACTTTTAGCCAAGGCCTTGTAGGAGCCTGTGGAAGGAAAATCCATCAGTGGCAAGAGCTGGTAGAAGTAGTAAGAGGTCAGGCTGAGCCCTGGCAGCTTTTTGAAACACCAGGCCCTGGGCAGACAGGTTGGCAAGCAGAGTCTCCAAGACTGAAGCTAGAACAGGAGAGCCAGGAATCACCCATTGGTCAACCTAGAGCTATAGCAATGTGGGAAGACAAGACAATCAGTCTTTCTTACTTGGCTACGTGGTCGAGGAGTATCAATCACTGCATCACAAGGTTGCTGTACTTGGAAAGGTATTTCGAGTCCACAGTGTACTGAACTGTAGTGTACTGAGCAAGGCTAGATGGGAGATTATTGAGTGATTCTTACAGAGACAACTCCTCAGCATAACAAGAAAGGACCACACATAAAGATCATGCACATAAGCTGTACAACTCTTACATTCCTTAAATTGGGCTCCAGGATCCAGGCAATCAAATACATTTGGGTCTCTCTAGCAAGAACATAATTCTATAGAGCACAAAGCTGATATGGTGAACACAAGGTTAAAGGTGGCTGAGCCAGAGGACACAGGGACTTAATCTTGTTTCAATATAAGGACCTGTCTATCCCTGCTTTGTAACAGGTGGAAGACCAAATAACAGGATCATATTCGATAACTCCCCTCAAGGGCAACTAGGTGAAATGAAAGTGATTTTAAGGTCACCCCACTTAGCTGTGGTTAAAGTTAGTAAACAAGAAAATTTAATATTATTATTAATGTTGTTTCACTTCTGCTTTTCAGTTGCTTCTCTGGAAAAAAGACGTTATTTCTTTTTTACTTGTAGAAAGTAAGATCTGTTGATTTTCAACCAGTTATACTCTGAAGAATGAGTAAGTTACTTTCTTTTGTTAATCAAGAGGGTAATCTGTGCACATGTTTAAACAGTAATATAGCTCAACATACATTTGTTCTTTTTTAGTTTTGATAATGGTAATACATTGGAACTATCATTTACAATTCTATAAATGGTTAAGTGTTTACTCAAAATTTATGTAAAGATCATTTTAGATAGAAATTAGGAAACAGCTGAGAATCCAAAAAACTAACTTTTCAACTGATATTATTAGCTACATTACTAGCAAAGTAAAACTACATTACATGTGCTGCCTAGAAGTTGCTTATTGAAATATTTTACATTGTCATATGGTTTGTTTAGCAAAGAAAATATCATATAATGAATAGAACCCATTTTCCCCTTGGTGTTCATCAGGATTTTAGAACTAGTAGATCTCTAATTGTTAGTCATAGCTTGGAAGAGGAAAACAAACTTCCCTTTTTCAATGTCTATTCCATTTCTTAGATTTGATGACATTAACTGTTTGACAGATGTAAACTGGAAACAAAATTAAAGAAAATTGTATTCAGCTGCAAAAGGGACATCAATTGTCAAAAACTGATCCACCACTTCAGTAAACTCTTGTTCCTGGTAATTAACCAGTTCAGCCAGTTTCTTAAAAGTGAACTAGTTCATATTTCCTGACAACTATAATTTTTAAACCTTGGCACTTTGCCCTTCTCATCCCCTGGAGGCAACACCCCAGATCATTAAGGCCAGTGCTAGCCTTTGTAGTACACCTGCCAGAGCAAATGCAGCTGACTAGTGTACAGCAAGGTACAACTGGCAGCTCTTGCAGGAGGAGAGGGAAACAGAAAGAGGCAGAAGATGCTACAGATAGATAGATTCTGCAGGAGGGGAGGGCATAGCTGCCCAGTTGGCCCACCCTGAGTTAGATGTCTAAGCAGTTCATTGGAAGAATTAGGGCTTGCAATTAGTTTCCTCATGAACTGAGCAAGAAAGTGCCTAAACTAGCCAATATGTGACTGAAAAGAGAGGTATGGCTAAATTCTGTCCCTCTCAGGTGCTTTACTGTCAGGGCTGTTGGGATGCATCTAAGTCAAATATAAACTTACAGCACTGTGCCTCAGAGTGAGACGCCAGAGCTATTCTTTATCCAAAACAAAGCTGGGATCAGCTGTCTGTTGCAGCACAAGGGCTGGTCCCCTTTTATCCAGTCGTGGAGGCAACTTCAAGCTCCCATACTTTCTTCCTCTCCTAAAAAACTTCTGCTTCTTTGCAAAAAACAAAAGAGTTCAAGATTCAATCTGCCAGGGAAGGGGAGCAAACAGTAGCAGGATGCCTTGAGCCTGTAGCTACGATTCCACCTCAGAAGGCAGATTGCTTGGACTCTCAGCCCTACTCCTTCACTTTATGCAGTGGCTGCTTCAAATAACCTACCTAAGCACCCTCGCTATAGCATTGTCCTCCTCCCCACCTCACAAAGATGGGTAAATGCAGCAAAGATCAAAGACCTCAAATACCACTGCAAGCAGCAGATAGGAACTGACTGCATTTTAAAGCATGCTCATAACCATGACTTATTTTTGTTCTGAAAGCGACTTATGTTCTTCCCATATGGGTGTTTTGGAAAACAACCCCAAAATAGCAACCTCCAGTTGGTTGGAATTGAGAGTATAGAGGGATCAGCAAAGATGTAAATAGCCAAATTCTCCAGGGAAATAAGTAGCAGTTAGGAGGGTCTACAAAAAGGCTATTTCCTGTCTTTGTAGGTATCATTAGATTCCTGAAGGAGGAATTTTGACTTGGGAACACTCATCTTTGTGATTTCCTCTGGCAAATAGGTCTCAGATGTGAACTTCGTAGTATCTCACCACCGAGTTTCATGGAAGAACACTGGTTATGAGTTGCTGAGGGCATCTGCTCAAAAGTAATTCCAGCAACTTTGGAAGGTGCATAAAGCTGCTGTGGGAGCTGGGGAGAATGGCCAAGGAGTACCTCAGGGCTCACACCAGTCACTCAGCATGCCAGGCCAAAGAAATTCACATAAAAGTGCTCTTGGCAGAACAAGGCTATGGCTACACTATGAAGTTATCCACCTCAGGGAGAGCTCCCTGTTCCCTGGCCATGTAATGCAGTGTGAGTTGCATCTGTCTTGCTGAGAGCTGCCTGCACTAAAGTAGACTGGCTGCACCTGCATTACTTAGCCCTTGTCCTGGAACTTCCTCAGGGACCCATGTGTACCAAAGACACATTTATTATTCCTCTTGTGTTCAGTCGCTCCTCACACCTCTAGTTTTGGAGTCTGAAATTATATGAGGGCTGTGCTGCAGCCCACAAGATTGTCTTTTATAGCCCCATGCCAAGTGCATATGTTGCATGTCTGGGAATGTGGCATAATGGATATGCGAGCATGCAGTGCCTGTGAAGACAATATTGAAGGGCCGTATAAGGCTGAGGAAGTCAAACCAGGTGCAGTGATCCCCATGCTGCCTAATGGAAAAACTAAAATATCCATAGAAGGACACCCAACTTTTGGCTCAGAAGCAGCCAATTTGTTCATTCCAAAAAAGAGTCCAGGAATGAAGTAACGTAAATGTAGTGTGGATGATCCCATGAGCAGGACTGAAGAGCAAGGCAGAGAGTTAAGTTATAGGCAACACAGACATGCCTTCTATTGGCCACTCCGGTGGAGGTGGGAGAGCTGACCCAGAATCACACCAACCCCGGTCCTACTGCTGCTCCATGCTGCAAGAGTTCACAGCCAAAAAAGGCAGATTGCCCCCTTGTTGAGGTCTTGCAGCCTGAGGGATGGAGGCTGGGTTTGAAATGCCTCTAAATATTAAAAACTGATGTAACTTTTTTTCCTGCCTCCGATGTTGTCCTTGGTGCTACTGAGGCAATAACCTCCAGTTCAGGGTCTCACCGTGAACCCTGCAGGGGACCTCCATTAGTGCTTAAACCAGCACTGAGAAAACAGCACAGATTGGCTAAGTCAGCGTTGTTCCAAGAGGGGGTAACTATTACGTTAATGTTGCCTAAGCAGATGATTTCCACGCTGTACCCTTCTCCCACTGGGAATAAGCTGTATGCTAAAGAATCCTCTGCAGAAAGTCAGTGTTCTGTGCAGTGTTTGGAAAATGTTGAATCCTGTCTCCCCCACAGATGCATACACAGTTCTCAGAACTACACCAGCACTGAACAGAACTATTCCATCCATCAGCCCCAGGTATTTGTTTTCACTGTCAAAAAACAAATCCAAGTCTGAAGGCTCCCAGGAAGATCTTGGAGTCTGGATCCAGACTTTGATCAAGAGGTGTAAATGTCACAGATATTTATATTAACATATACAGGTTTGTGCATGTGGAAAACATTTTAAAGAAGCTAGAAGTCTCAAAAATGCAGCATAATTTTACTGTATCGTTAATGTTTAGCTTTATACCCATGTTCGTGTTAACAATGGCTAACATGTTTTGCAACTACACAGAGATGACAATTTTGGTCCTGTGTTTTCAGTAAAAAAACCTTGGAAGAATAGTCTGGGCTACTAGTGACCAGTATAGAGAGGAGGAATTGCGTCTAACAGGCTTTATCATTGAGGAAGAGGCAGAAACTGCCGAGGACTGGCTGACCTCCACATCCCGTTTAGGACTGGGCTCTAAGTAGTGATTTTGAATCTCCCTCAAATTCTCTTTGAGGAAGTGTGAATGGCACTCTCTGAAAGGACTCCAACAGTGTCTCAGATGGTTTCGTGTGTCCGTTGATATGTCTTTTCCGAAAAGTTGTTTGCTAAACTCTCCCTCTTGCAGAATAGTGTTTTTGGATTGCCTAATGTACCAATACAAAGACCCATTTATGAGCCAGGCTGTGACAACAGTGCCAGGTTGTGAAGTTCATACAAAGCTTTTGTACTGCTTAGACTGTGCCAGATGGAAACCACAGCAATCTTTCACCACTGGGTAGCTAATTCCCCATGATTTGTTGGTACCCTTAGCATGTACTCAGTGTAGGACTGGATTCTGTATGTAAGCCATGTTAGTCTGTCCACAGATCTTGTGCCCCACTTCTAAGAGGAAAAAGAAAGCCTCTTAGTCCCTTTTACTTAAAGTCCAGTGTAAATAGTGAATTACAAGTTTGAATATCTCTTCCAGGGTAGATTATTATTAACAGGCTCTGACTCTACTCTCTCTTTCTAACTCTCATGGGGATTTGCAACTGTGTGAATGAAATGAGAATTGCATCCATATCTGTGCCAAGAAAATGTTCTAAATATACAAATAGGCTGAACTGAATATGATTTAATCTTCAAAGCAGATACATTTTAAAGGATTTGATTTCCTTTCTCTTCCAAAAGTCAAGCTCTTGCTATGAGTCTTTTTGGACAACCTACTGTACCAATATAAAGACTCATTTTCACACAGGAGGTACCATTTGCAGGGATCCACTAGCAATTCCTATGGTTTAATGAGTACCATGACCCACACCAGCTAGGATAAGGAGCAGTGTTTGTCTCTAGGATCTTACAAAGGGTAGGGAAAGCTCAGAGAAGCTCCTGGGCAATTTTATCCCATATATCACTACTGGAAAATACATATCCAGGCCTAGGAGCAGAGTCATGCACCAGATTCACCTCCAGCTGAGGAAAAACACCTATCAGTAGTCTGTAATAAGGTTCCCTCTTGCTGCTCATCATGGCAATAATTATGGCACTGTGGTAGTATATATGCTATGTTAATGGATGTGCGTGTACCGATATATTATTTTACTAAAATTCAGCCAGCCCTACTGACTCCTCCAATCGATAGAGCCACTACTGGCCCACAGGATTCTCTTCTAGTGAAAACAGAAAAAAGAGTCCTTGGTGAGGAGAAGAGAAAGGTCTTTCTGGTGCAGAAGGGTCAGCATAGACAGATGGCATTTGTGAACAGCAGATGTATTCACAACCTGAGCCTTGCCGTTATGAAAAGGTCAGATAGGAGATAAGGCATAAATAGAGCAGGAAGGGTGGTTTGGGGTTTTAAAGGCAGTGACTAC